CGACTACTACTACTACTACTACGACTACTACTACTACTACTACTACTACTACTACTATTATTACTACTACTACTACTACTACGACTACTTTTCTTATTATTGTTACTACTACGACGACTACTACTACTACGACCACTACGGTTACTACGATTATTCCTTCGACTACTACTACGACTACTACTGCTTCCACTACCACTACCACTACTACTACTACTACTACTACTACGACTACTACTACTACTACTACTACTACAACTACAACTACCACTACTTATTAGCATTACTACTACTACTACTACTACTACTACGGCTACTACTACGATTGTTACTATTACTACTATTACTATCACTACTACTACTACTACTACTACTAGTACTACTACTACTACTGCGACGACGGCTACTACTACTACTGCCTACTACTACTACTACTACTACGACTACTACTACTCCCAATACTTATACTACCACTACTACTACGGATATTACTGCTGCTACTACTACTACTAATATTTATACTGCTGCTACTGCTACTACTACTACTACTACTACTTCCACCAACTATTACTACGACTACCACTACCACTACTACTACTACTACTACTACTACTACTACTACTACTACGAATGCTACTGCCACTACAACTACTACGGCTACTACTACTACTACTGCTACTACTACTATCACTACTACTACTACTACTACTACTACTACTACTACTACTACTACTACTACTCCTACTGCCACTACTACCACTACTACCACTACTACCACTACTACTACGACTACGACTACTACTACTACTACTACTACTACTACTACTACTACTACTACTACTACTACTACTACTACTACTACTACTACTACTACTACTACTACTACTAGTACTACTACTACTACTACTACTACTACCTACCACTACTACTACTACGTCTGCTACTACTACTACTACTACTACCAACTGCTGCTACTACCTACTACTACTACTATCCTACTACTACTACTACTACTACCTACTGAGTTGCACTACTACTACTACTACTACTCCTACTACTACCTACTACTACTTACTACTGACTACTACTACTACTACTACAACTACTACTCTACTCACTAATACGACTACGACTACGACTACTACCACTGAATATACCACTACTAGTACTACTACTACTACTAAACTACTACTACTACTTACTACTCTACTAGTACTACTACTACTACTACTACTACTACTACTACTACTACTACTACTAGTACTACTACTACTACCACTACCACTAGTAGTAGTAGTAGTAGTACTACTACTACTACTCCTGCTGCTACTACTACTACTACTACTACCACTACTGCTACTACTACTACTGCTACTACTACTAATACTACCTATACTACCTACTACTACTATTACTACTACTACTACTACTACTACTACTACTGGTAATACGAATATCAGTAATGCTTACACTAGTTAGTACAATTATATTGAGAGTAGAAATGCTGCACCAAAAGCATTACTAATGATAGTGCGATTCATGATAATAGAAGTAGTCATTGGACAAAGACAAAGAATAAGGCGAGGACGACGAGGATGAGGACGAGGGCGGGGAGGAGGAGGAGGAGGAGGAGGAGGAGGAGGAGGAGGTGGAGGAGGAGGACGAGAATATGGACGAGGACGAGAGGAGGGGAGGGGGGTGGGGAGGAAAAGGGCCTGGGCGTCGCGAACTCTCAAGCGTCGGCCAGCGGCCTGGAGCGCGGCATCGGGCTCGCGGGCGCCCCCTCGGCGGCCTTTCGACGCGTGGCGAAGGAGGGGCAGGAAGTGCGAGGCTGGGATTTGTGCACATCCCCATGCCCTGAGATGCACGTGGCCCGCCTTGCCCAAACCCCCTCGGGCAATCAACAAATCATGACGGGAGTTTTTTTTGTTTTTTTTCATTTTTCGGCCTTTGGGGGCCCTTACCGGCCCTCGTGACCGTCAAAAAACGCTTCAGGATGAATGGCCGGTCTCGGTGAATGAGTCTCCGACCTTCTTGGCGATTTTTGCACATCCACAGCCCTGAGATGCACTTGTCGAAGAAGAAAGAACTTCATGAACGTAAGCTTTTGGCGCTCCGCGCTGGTTTCTTGGATCCGCGCTGGGCCCCCCCAGTAGCGCCTCCAGCGCCGCCCCTGGCACGCGGAGCGCGCCAGGGAGGGGGTCCAGCGCAGATCCACGAAATCCGCGCGGAGCGCCACCAGTTTATGTTTATGGCGTTTTTCTTCTTCCAACTTGGCCCGCCTCAAGTAGGTTATACAACGATCAATGAAAAGGTACAGGTTTCTCTCGCTGGTGACCTTGCTGGTTCTGTAGAGATTTACCTCGCCTACTCCTGCGCGCGAGATGGGACCCCTCGATTATCTTTGTGGTTCCCCGCAAATGCCTCGATGCGTGGCGAAGGAGGGGCAGGAAGTCCGAGATTTGGATTTGCGCACATCCCCAGCCTTGGAGACCGACCCAGATATGATCGCGTCGTAAAAATGTCAGGGTGGGCGGGTTTTTGCCGTTTTCGGTCTCGGGGGGCCCTCGCCGGGCCTGGGTACAGTAAAAGCACGACTCAGGATGAATGACCGTTCCTGGGGACGCGGTGAAGAATGCTCCAGCTCGTGAGCTTGGTGATCTCGAGCTCTATGCCAGAGCTGCCAGAGCGCAGCGTGTTCGACAATTGCCAGAGGTCGATGGCGTAATTGTTGGACTTCATTTTGAGCTATGTGCCAGGAAACACGTTCTTCCCGTCCAATGTCAGGGCTCGCGGCGACTCAGAGCTTGTCCGAGCTCTTGAAGCTCTGGACATGTCGGGCTTCTGGGACAAGCGCACTGAAGCTCTTCACGTTCAGAACAAGCCTACGTACAAGAACGTGCATTCCGGGTCCTGTGGAAGGGGTCCAAACCTCCACCACCCACCAAACCACCCCAACCCAACCCGAAGGTTATCCTCGATTTCCAGTTGGGGGGGTTGGGGAACATTGGAAAAACACGTGGAACCCGTACCCCCGCAACCCAACCCGAAACTCGGGTCAAATTCGGGTCTTCGGGTTGGGTTGGGGTGGTCTTGGTAGGTAGCCAGACCTCTGGGGGTCGACGCCGTGAACAGGCCACGACGGCGGGGGGGTCTTGGGAGGCCGACCTTCCCAGGCCCGCACGTGCTCTCGCGACCCCCTGCGCCGGGCGCACGGAGGCCTGGTCGGCCTCGTCGTCCCCGTCGCCCTCGTCGTTCTCGTCGTTCTCGTCGTCTCGTCGTCGTCGTCGTCGTCGTCGTCGTCGTCGTCGTCGTCGTTCTCGTCCTCGTCCTGGTCCTCGTCCTCGTCCTCGTCGTCGTCCTCGTCCTCGTCGCCGCGGGCGGATTCGACTAGACGTAAGAGTGACCTTTCGCCAGAGTGACCTTTGGTGCGGGCATAAATTGGTCCCCAGATCGCCGAACGCGATGCGGTAGTAGCGTCTTGCGCGCTCGTGTTCGGTCACCCCGCGGCCCCCCAGAAGCCGCGCACCAAAGGTTACTCTTACCTAGGGTCACTCTTGCGTGTAGCCGAGCTTTTGCTTCTGTTCGTCACGTCTCAGGCGGCAGTGATTCGCACCAAGAGCTAAGTCGGGCCTGTCCCTGTACAGGAGGAATATTCAAAAATAGTTGTTTAAAATAGTGTTGGGACGATTTCTTCGCTATGTTTGCATATTTCCTGGGTATCCTTAATTCTTCGTCCAAAATCCACCTGTAGGGGGACACGCCCGAACTAAACCAAGAGCCCAAACGGGCGAATTGAGAATCGCGCCAGCGTGGAAACTCAGGCTGGTCGCCACCAGCGCCGTTGCCGCAGCGGGGTCCGCACCCGCTGCCACAGGCCGCAGAGGATGCGGCACCGTGCCGGGCGCCAAGACCCCCGACGTCATGTCTTCGTCGTAGCGTCGATCCCTGGACCCAGACCTCCGAGGGTAATGACGACGACGACGACGACGACGACGACGACGACGACGACGACGACGACGTCATCAAATACTAACGGCATGAGGTTTTTTGCTATGTTAGCCTCTGGGGTCCCTGGCCTCGGGACCTTCAACGAACGACTCGGGGCGAAAAACGGGTCTCGGGGATTAGGCCGGGACTTTTAGGGATCGAGGGGTCGACTTCCCCTGAGATCCGACGTAGCGCAAAAACTGGAACATCGTAAAAAGTCACGCCCAGAGCCCTAGCCACATCTTTCCGCGTCATTTTTCGAGCCGGACCGATCTGTGAGGGTCCTGGGGCCCGAAAGCAAGCGACAACTCCCGGCTCACAAAAATGGAGACGCCAGTGTCTCCGGATCATGAACAAAATCATGACGTCGAGGGTCTGGTGAGGCCCCGACCCATTCCCCAGGACCGGCTTCTCATACGGCGGGGGCGTTGAGTAAGGAATGGTCCCAGGAGGCTGCAGACCCTGGAGACTTCCTTACCTGAGAGAGGTTGGGGTGAGATCCATGGCCGATCCACGATTGGAGTTCCACCAGCTTCCAGACCCTGGATTCCTTATCCAGTGGTTCCTTCTCCAATACCATCACCGCATTGTTTCTCGACGGCTTCGAAGGCCCAGAGAGCACGCCCCCAGAAAGCTGCCCGTCCTGATTTCTGCACGACGCGAGGCAGCACCGGGCACCGCTCGGGCGCTCGCACCTGTTTCGGCGAGGGCCCGCGGGGAGCACCCTGGACCATCCTGCGAGCGAGAGAACCAAAGGACGCACGAGACCCAGACCCCCGACGTCATGATTTTTCAATGACGCGACCCCCAGAGGTCCCGACCCATTCCCCGAGACCGGTTTTTCGTTCTGAGTCGTTTTTGACGATCCCGAGGCCCTGTGAGGGCCCCCGGAGGCCAAAAATAGAGACAAACCTCCCGTCGTGCTTTTTTCAAAAAGCGAGGGGGTATGGGAACCAAGCAGCGCACGGGGAAGAGACGTCCCAGCGATGGCGAGGCACCGGCTGGCCCGCAGCGTGCTCGAGGCTCCGGCTCTGCCCCTCCTGCAGATGCCGAGCGCAGGCGCCCCCCTGCGCGTGGGCCGGCCTGCCGGGCCCCGGGGCCATGGCCGACGACATCGTCGACGCTTTCATCCGCGGCTCCTCGCTCCGCTTCGGGCCGTCGAGCGTAGACTTCGGGACGAGCCCCGCCCACGAGGGCTCGAGGCCTGGGGGCGCGTCAACCCTCCTCCTCCTCCTCCTCCTCTCCCTCCTCCTCCTCTTCCTCCTCCTCCTCCTCCTCCTCCCTTCTCCCTCCTCCCTCCTCCCTCCTGCCTCCTCCCTCCTCCTCCCCCTCCCTCCTCCTCCTCCCCCTCCCTTTCCCTCCTCCCTCCACCCTCCTCCCTCCCTCCTCCCCTCCACCCTCCTCCTCCTCCCCTCCTCCTCCTCCTCTCCTCCTCCTCTCCTATCCTCCTCCTCCTCCTCCTCCTCCTCCCTCCTCCCTCCTCCTCCTCCCTCCTCCTCCTCCCCTCCTCCCTCCTCCCTCCTCCTCCTCCTCCCTCTCCTCCTCCTCCTCCTCCTCCTACTCCTCCTCCCTCCTCCTCCTCTCCTCCTCCTCCCCTCCTCCTCCTCCTCCTCCTCCTCCTCCTCTCCTCCTCCTCCTCCTCCTCGTCCTCTCCTCCCTCCTCCTCTCTCCTCCTCCTCCCTCTCCCTCCTCCCTCCTCCCTCCTCCTCTCCTCCCCCTCCTCCTCCTCCCTCCTCCCCCCCCTCCTCCCTCTCCTCCTCCCTCCTCCCTCCTCCTCCCTCCCCCTCCTCCCTCCTCCCTCCTCCCTCCTCCCTCCTCCCCTCCTCCCTCCTCCCTCCTCCCTCCTCCCTCCTCCCTCCCTCCCTCCCCTCCCTCCCTCCTCCCTCCCTCCCTCCTCCCTCCTCGTCCCCTCCCCCTCCTCCTCCTCTCCTCCCCTCCGCCTCCTCCTCCTCCTCCTCCTCCTCCTCCTCCTCTCCTCCTCTCCTCCGCCCTCCCGCCTCCCCGCCTCCCGCCTCCCGCCTCCCGCCTCCTCCCTCCCTCCTCCCTCCTCCTCCTCCTCCTCCTCCTCCTCCCTCCTCCTCTCTCTCCTCCTCCTCCTCCTCTCCTCCTCCTCCTCCTCCTCCTCCTCCTCCTCCTCCTCCTCCTCCTGGCTTCGGAGCCACCGCCGCTCGGTCCCAGACGTGCGGCGTCCCGATTAGTTCGGCACGGGGCCCCTGGGAGCCCCGACTCTTCCCCCAGGTCCGGCTTTTTCGTCCTGAGTCGATTTTGGACGGTCCCGAGGTCCGGCGAGGGCCCCCCAAGGCCGAAAACGGCCAGAAACTTCCCGTCCTGTTTTTTTTACGACGCGATCATGTCTGGGGTTGCGTCTCCGACGAAAGACGGTGCCGGAAGTGCGCCCCACACGGCGCGAAACGCAGGGCGGCGGCCTCCGCCTCCGCAGAGTGTAGGGCGGACCTCTCCGCAGAGGCACGGCGAAAGCAGCGACGGCAAGGCAGGGCGGAAGCGGGCCTCAGAGGAGCTTGGGACCCAGACCCCGACGTAATGATTTGTTCATAACGTCGACCCCCAGAGTTCTGGACCCCTTCCCCCCGACGGTTTTTTCTTCCTGCGTCATTTTTGTTGACGCTCCCGAGGCCCAGTAAGAGCCTCCAGAGGCCGAACATAGCGGAAGACCTCCCGTCGTGATTTCTTCACTGCCAGAAGGGGGTCTGGGAAAGTAGGGCGGAACGTTCCGCCCTGCCTCGGAAGTCGCCTCCTTCGCGGCTTGTGGTCCGCTGACGCCGCCTTTTGCCGAGGAGCCACGCTGGCGGCCAGTCCCGCCAGGACTGATGGGCGATTTCCCACCACCACTACGCAGGAGGAGGAGGAGGAGGAGGAGGAGGAGGAAAGGAGGATGAGGAGGAGGAGGAGGAGGAGGAGGAGCAGCAGCAGCAGCAGCAGCAGCAGCAGCAGCAGCAGCAGGAGGGGAGGGGGCGGAGGAGGAGGAGGAGGAGGAGGAGAGGGGAGGAGGAGCAGCAGGAGGAGGAGGAGGAGGAGGAGGAGGAGCAGCAGGAGGAGGAGGAGGAGGAGGAGGAGGAGGAGGAGGGCTTCCCCATCCGAGGCCCCGCCAGGACGGCAGCGCCCCGCCGCCGCAGCCGGGCCCCTCGCGTTGCGGCCGCGGCCCAGCGCGCGAGGGGCCACCAGGGGGCGCCGCCCGGCGGCACGACGGCGAGGCTCGGCAGCGCGCCCATGGGGGAAGTCTCAGTTGAGTTGTCTTTCTTCTCCTCCTCCTCCTCCTCCTCCTCCTCCTCCTCCTCCTCCCTCCTCCTCCCCCTCCTCCTCCTCCTCCTCCTCCTCCTCCTCCTCCTCCTCCCCCTCCTCCTCCACTTCGTCGTCGTCGTCCTCCTGCTGAGGAGGAGGAGGAGAAGGAGGAGGAGGAGGAGGAGGAGGAGGAGAAGGATGAGGAGGAGGCCGACCTCTGCCTTCCCCCCTGGGTACGCCGCCGAGAGGCGGCCTACGTGGAGCACCCAGCGGTGCAGGCGCGCACGTGGTCCGAGGCCTCGGGGGCGGGGGGACACGGCGGCTGCTCGGCTCCCTGCAGGGTGCCTCGCCTGGAGATGTCGGAAACTGGAACATGTACATTACCAGTGGCGGGCTGTTTCTCAATCCCAGGACTTCTTGAGGGTCGAGGACGACGCTGGGGTGGTATGGTGTATACGTTTTTCTCCGATGTCCCCGGGAAACAACGAAACATGTATACACCAGGGTCCCGTATACACCAGAATCCGCTCTCCCGTGCGAATTCCAATGCAGGGCCGGAGGAAGCGTCGGTGCATAGAGTTCGGTCCGCTAGCCTTCTCTAGCGACTGCGCCTCGCCGAGAGCGTCCTGCGGGGTGCCCGCGTCGTCCCAAACGGCCGCCTTCGAAGAAGAGGAAGCGGCATGAGCACGAACTGTTGGCGCTCCGCACGGTTTTCTTGGACCCGCGCTGGACCCCCCCGGGGGCGCCTCGCGCGCCGCCCCTGGCGCACTCCGCGCGCCAGGGAGGGGAGGTCCAGCGCGGATCCACGAAACCCGCGCGGAGCGCCAACAGCTCATGCTTACGCCGTTTTTTCTCCGCGCTGCGCCTGGGTGCCGAAGCGGCGGCCCGAGAGTCGCCGTGGAGCCAAGGGGTCCTGCGGTTCTGGCAGTCTCTGCTGGCTCTCGGGCGGCCCTCCCTGGGCCCCACGGCCGAAGCCCGCGCAGAACGAAGGGCTGGTCTGAAGTCGGGCCTGACCCCCTACAGGGGGGTTTTCGACGAGAAACAATATTCCAAAATTGTCAAACAATAGTCCAAACATAGTCTGGGGACTTTTTTTTGAATACTTGTTTAACCTCTTCGGGGTATTTTTGGGGGAATTTTGATTTTTCGTCGAAAATCCCCCCTGTAGGGGGACACGCCCGACACAAGGCTGGTCCTGGGGGAGATCCCCAGCGTCCAGGAGTCGTTCCCCTCAGGACCCGCCTGCTTCACGCCAAAGAGGGGGGTGCAGATTATTTAGGGGGGGATGAGATCACTGCCGGCGCCATAGGATCTTTCAGGTTTCGTGGGCCCCCTTTGTCCTCCGTGGCCCTTCCATGGTCTGGAGCTGCGTGATGATCAAGTTCTTTTGCTTTCTGGATTTCTTCGGGTTACTGGAAGCAGAGAGTGATAGGCTTGATGTGTGTCACTGCAAACTGTTGCTTAAGATCCTCGGTATCCGGCATTCGTTTGTATCTCGAATTTCCTATGCAACCGTTTTGGCAACGACGGAGCCTTTGCCTCTGTCGCAGGTTTTACACCAAAGTCAGAACACAGTGAAACAGCCAGCGGATTCTTTCCTACGACGTGTCCAACCCGGATGGTACCCCAGAAAGTTGGGCCCGCCACCGCGGCAGAGGGCGTCCCCGACAGTTGCGGGCGAAATCAGTTTTTCTTTTGGAGCACATGAATGTGTGACTTTTCTATTCTGCTGATTTCCCTCCCTCTCCTCCTCTTCCTCCTCCTCCTCCTCCTCATTATCCTCCTCTCCGCTGGCCGCTGGTCTGCTTAACAGTCGGGCGCTTCATTGTTCTGCCTCACAGCCGTGATGCGCTTCGTTTTCCATGCGACACAGTCGTGATGTTGTCCGTATTCTGCCCCGCGCCATCGCATACCGGAGGGTTTGGGTCCAATAGCGATCCGGTTGCTTCTGCCCGCGCGTCTCACAGATGCACGGGTTCTGACCACCTCCTTCTTTCAAGACGTCCTCTGGCCCCCCCTCTTCCGCGCGCATGCCTCAGGCCGTGATGCGCTACCCCTCCGTTTCGTGCCCGGAAGTCTTGATGCTTTCGATACGGGGTCCCAGAAAGTCCCGACCCTTTCCCCGGGACTGGTTCTCAGGCCGAGTCGTTTTCTGGCGGCCCCGAGGCCCGGCGAGGGCCCCCCGGGGCCGAAGGCGGCCACAACCCGCCCGTCCTGATTTTGTTTGCTTCGACGTGATCCTGCCTGGGTCTTCGGCGGAGCCGCAGGTCGAGAGGTGGAGGGCAAGCCACGGCGTCCTCGTCGAGGACAGCGGGGGCCTGCCGCTGCCGAAGCCGACGGTGGCCTTCGACGAGGCCCCGTTCCCCGACTGGGCCGCCGAGGCTTTCCGCAGCTGGGGGCTCTCGGCCCCGTCGCCGCTGCAGGCGCAGGCCGCGGGGATACGCCGCTGCTCTTCGGCCCTCTCGGGGGGCGTGCTCAGACCCCAGACCCCCTCGCGTCGTGACAAAAGTTCTGGCGGTACGGCAACGGCAGCGGCGCAGCCCCAGAGATCCGAGGCTCCGACAACCATCCCAGACCCTCGCGGGTCACGACAGAAATCACGACGGGAGGCTTTGCCTTCTTTTCGGCCTCCGGGGGGCCTCGCCGGGCCTCGGGGCCGTCAAACACCGGGGAAGTGGTCCAGACCTTTGGGGATCGACGTTGTGAGAAGGGCACGACGTCGGGGGCCTGGAGTTGCGTCGCAACAAAAATCAGGACGGGAGGTTCTCAGCCGTTTTCGGCTCCTGGTGGGCACTCGCCGAGCCTGGGGACCGTCCAAAAACCACTCGGAATGAAGAACCGGTCCCGGGGAAGAGGGCCGGGACTTCCAGGTGCCCCATAGTTTCATCGAAAAGCTCAGGACGTCGCCTGTCTGGGTGGCCTGGCCAGAACCTCGAGGCGAATCCAGCGGTGGCGACGGGGGCCTCCACGGAGGCACCGCAAGTGGCGAACACGAGGGAAAAGTTGGCGCAATCGGTGCTTTTCCCTCCTCGGAGGCCTGGCCGCTGGTGGCCAGCGGCCGTGACGTCCTGGCCGTGGCGCCGCCGGGCATGGGCAGGACTTGGCGGGCGAAGGGCAGCACACCATAAGCTGTTCCGCCGTCGGGGACGCCTGCCCCCCAGACGGCTGCAAACTTTATACTCCTGCAGTGCCGCGTTGGGGTCTACAGTCGACCCGCATGCTGAGGATGAGCAATTCTCAAAGGCTTGGATCCTTCCCCTTCGGCCCATCCTTGGCCGCGCTCGCTGGCCGCACCCCGCTCACAAAGTGTCGACCCTTCGAAGGCCTTGCACCCTTATCGTGGGTCCCTATGATACGGGTTGTCCGTAAACTGTTCAGCCGCCCTGGGCTTGGGGCAGGCGTTTTGAGCTTATTTCATATTGCCCTTCCCTGAGATCCGGCGTTGCAGAAATTGCAACGTAGTAATTAAATACCACGCCCAGAGCCCCGGACCCCGTCTTTCTGCGTCACTTTCCGAGCCAGATCCATCTGTGAGGGTCCTGAGGCCCAGAAAGACGGCGAAAACGCCCGGCTCGAAAGAATGGAGACGACGCCAGGATCTCAGGGCTCGTCCCCCGAAGGACGCTGGCCTACGGCGTGCCCCTGCTGGTGCGCGCCCTGTCGCGCCCCGAGGCCGAGCAGGCCTCAGGAGGGGAAACAAAAACACACAGACGCACACAGCATCGCCGACTCCCCGTGACATTGGGGAATCTACGGGACGTGGGCGGAGAGACGAAAATCCATAAGATACGAGACAAGACCCAGACCCCCGACGTCGTGAGTTTTTTTGGCAACGTCGACCGCCAGAGGTCTGGACCCCTTCCCGGGGACCGGTTTTTCGTCCTGCGTCGTTGTTTGACGGTCCCGAGGGCTGGTGAGGGCCCCCAGAGGCTGAAAATGCCCCCAAACCGCTCGTGACTTTTTGCGCGACGCGAGTGGGTCTGGGGATGGGGACTCCCAGGGCCTGTGTGCCTTTGTCTGTGTGGCCCTGGGCGCCACCGGGTTCATGGAGAAGGTGCTCCTTTGCAAGTACGTCGGCTTCGGCACCGCCTGATTCCGAGGCTTTGCCTCCTCCCGGCCTCGTTCTGAGGCTGCGCCCCCCCTTTCCCCCCCCCCCTCTCTGACTAATTCAAGCTTCGCGCGGCCCGCGAAGCTTCGACTGGAAGAGGTGCGCTCTCGACCCGCGGATCAAATCGGGCCGGACGAAAGGGGGGGATTGGGAAAGGGAGGGTTACGAAATCTGCTGCATGCAGCTGGTTTCGGCCTCACCGAGGGGTCCATTCCTCGATACATAGCCGCCTCCGGCGCCGGGAGGCGCCGGGAAAATCAGCTACTTGAGCTGATTCTCAACCCCCCCCTTTGCTATCCCCCCCTTTCGCCCGACCCGATCAAAGAGTGCACCCTTCCAGGCCGTCGGGCCCGCCGCCCTCGTGCTCGCGTCCGCCCCGGAGCCCGGCGAGCAGGCGTGCGCCGCCCTGGAGCCCCTGGCCGCCGCCGCGGGCCTCAGGCCAGGGGGGGGGGGGGGCGAGGGGAGCAGGGAGGACGGGGAGGGCCACCATTGCCACAGGCAGGACGGGGGAGAAGGGAGGATGGGGATGTCCTCCTCCCTCTCCTCCTCCTCCTCCTCCTCCTCATCCTCCTCCTCCTCCTCCTCCTCCTCCCTCCTCCTCCTCCTCTCCTCCTCTCCTCTCCTCCTCCTCCTCCTCTCCTCCTCCTCCCTCCTCTCCTCCTCCTCCTCCTCCTCCCTCCTCCTCCTCCTCCCTCCTCCTCCTCCTCCTCCTCCTCCTCCTCCTCCTCCTCCTCCTCCTCCTCCTCCTCCCTCTCCTACCGATGGCAGTGGTGGTGGAAAGTCTGCCCATCAGGGGAGGGCGAGTGGAGACCACGGTGCGGTGCCAGAGATCCCAGGCTCCACAGAAGAAGGACGAGGTACAGTCGGGGCGCTGAAGAAAGAACCCTTTTCGTTGGGGAGGGGCTCGGTGTTCCTTGAATGTTTCACAGTTTGCCTCGGGTTTTCCTGAGGTTGAACTTCTGGGAAACAGGGGCCTCGTTCCTTATTTAGGCTTCCTTAGGTCAACGCCCCGGCTGTACCCCCACAGCTACGCTTCCCCCGTTTTCCCCTCATGGGGCCTCCCGGGAGGCCCTCGTCGCCACCACTGGATTCGCCTCGAAGTCCTGGCCAGAAGGCACTCCAGGAGAGGTCCTGGGGGTAGCGGCATCGGTACCTGTCAGACTCTGTCCACACCCACCGCTTCGGAGTCGTGCCCTGGTATCTCGAGCAGCGGTGGATGTGCATATCTGCCCGCTCGCGTGGGCGGGCAGATATCCATACCCACCGCTCCCCGAGTCCTCGGAACACCGACAGAGCTGCACTGGATATGATCGACTTCTGGCGGTACGGCAACGGCAGCGGTGCAGCCCTAGAGATCCGAGGCTCCGACAACCATCCCAGACCCCCGCGGGTCACGAAACAATCACGACGGGAGGCCTTTCTCTGTTTTCGACCCCCTGGAGCCCTCACTGTGCCTCGGGAACGTCAAGAACAACTCAGGGTGAAGAACCGGTCCCGGGGAAGTGGTCCAGTCTTCTGGGGGTCGACGCTGCGAAGCAATCACGAAGTCGTGGTCCTGGGGACGGCGAGTGGAGGCAACGGTGCAGTCCCAGCGATCCGAGGCTCTGGCAACAATCCCTGAGGTCCCATCTTTTTCCGAGCCGGGCGTTTTCGCATTTTTTTCGAGCCCCAGGACCCTCACACATCGATCGGGCTCGAAACATGATGCAGACGAATGCGGCTCATGGGGCTTCATGGACATCCGAGGCTCCGACAAAAACTGGAGCGGCGGCGTTCGCAGGACGAGTCGCGTCGCCCGATGCCGCCGCCCGCTCGGCGCTGGTCCTGGCTGCGCCATGTTCTGGGCCTCCTAGAATCTAAATGGGGTCGGAGTAGATGCGGTCAGAGGGTCGCGCCGCATCGCCGATGCATCGGCGATGTGGCTCCATGTGGAGCCCGATGTTCTCCACGCCGACGGCGCCGATGCATCGCCGACGTCGACGATGCATCGCCAGTGCATCACCGATGCATTGTTGATGCATCGCCGATGCGTCGCCGATGCATCGGCGATGCGGCGCGATCCTTCGACCCCATCCACTCGGACCCCATTTAGGAGGCCTCTACATGTCCGTGTCGCCCAATGCCGGCGCGGATACCGCGCCAGTAGATGTCACCAAGCTATTGGGAAGGCCAAGCGGCTGGTACCCTGAAGGGGGACCGTGGCGGCGGCGGCGACGGCAGCGGCGGCGACGACGACGCTGACGCTCTGGAAGCCTTTCTTGGGGCTCTCCTGGGAGCATCTTGGGCTCTGTTGGGGCTCGGGCTGGGGCCGCGGCTGGGGCCAGGGCCTCACCAGGCTGTGCTGTGCTCTGCCACCTCCGGCCCGCCATGGGGCCCCCAGCGGGCCCCAGGACCGCCCAAGGACGATCCAGAATGACGAGCCCATCCCATGGGGAGGTCGTCCAGACCCCAGGGGGGCCCACGCATCCCTGATGGTCCGCTACCGAAAATTTCCGGTAGCGCTCCGCAGAGACCGGTCGCTACCGAAATACCGAAATGTAGCGCCCAATACCGGTATCAGACCGTTCTGAAAGCCGCTATTTCAACGCCCTCAAACGAAGATCCGGTCGCTACCGAAATTCGGGGTGCGTCGAAATCGCTAGCGAAAATTTCCGGTACCAGACCATCTGGGATCGAGAGGGCTGGAGAGCGCCGGGCTCTCCAGGGGGGGGGGGCGCGGGTGGGCCCTCGCGCCGCCACGGCGGGGCGCAGCTCGGGAGGCCATGGTGCGCTCCAGGGCCCCCCGGGGAGGGGCCTGGGCGCCGCCCTCTCGAGCTGCCGGCGTGGCAGCTCGCAGCTCGCCCCGCTCCCCAGGCCTGCACGCACGACATGGGTACAGAAAGTCACCACCCCTCCTCCTCCTCCTCCTCCTCCTCCTCCTCCTCCTCCTCCTCCTCCTCCTCCTTCTCCCTCTCCTCCTCCTCCCCCCCCCCTTCTCCTCCTCCTCCTCCTCCTCCTCCTCCTCCTCCTCCTCCTCCTCTTCCTCCTCCTCCTCCTGCACGCACGCACGACATGAGCGCGCAAACCACCCCAACCCAACCCGAAGCCCTCAATTTGCCCTCCGTTTCCAGTGGGGGGGGGTCGGGGAACGTTGAAGAAACACATGGAACCCGTACCCCCCCCAACCCGAAATGGGGGTCAAATTCGGGTCTTCGGGTTGGGTTGGGGTGGTTTGGTAGGTAGTCAGAAGGAATGGGTACAATGCCCAAGAGCAGCCCCTGTTCATCCTGAACTGGGCTCGCTGTCCGCGCGGCCGCGGCCCGTGTCCATTGGAGACAGGAGGCCGCCTGCCCAACGGCGGCCGCTGTCGGTTTGGGACAGCACTTGTTGTTGGGCATTGTACCCATTTTTCCGTACCCATTTCGGGCGTCCAAGCCAGATCTCCGGCGATATTATATGGTTCGTTCGATCGATGGTGTTGTTCCGTGATCTCGGCCGCCGGGGCCTGCCATGGGGCCCCGGGATCCCGTCCGAGATGGATCCAGGACGCAAGATGATTCGGGGGCGGAAAAGAAGGGGGTGATGACTAGGGGGGGGTGGATATCATGGCGGGGGCCATGATATTTTCCCAGATTTCAGGGCGCCTCTTCTTGTTTCATTACGTTCCCGGCCCCCCCGCTGGGCCGCGCACATGCCGCCGGCCATGATTTGCACCCCCCCCTCTTTGACACCCCCCTCTTGGCCGCTCCCGAATGATTCGGGCGTCGCGTAAGGGGGGGGGGTCAGTGGGGGGGGCAGCGAGGGCTGCAAAAAAGGTGCCCTTTACTAAAGGGCTGCAAAAACGGTGCCCTTGAGTCAGAATCGGGCTCATGGGGTCTTTGGAAATGGGGCCGCGAAGCGTGCGCGCAATAGTTCGCGCAATAGTTGGAAGCGATCACATACATCGTACGGTGCCTCGTGCAGTAGTCGGGGTGCAAAAGTTTGCTCACGCGAGCGCAATAGTTTATCTCTGCGGTCTAATAGTTTGTGTTCTCTCTTTTTTTCGCGAGCAATCGTTTGCAGTTGTTGGCCTGCCACGATGCAATAGTTGCGTCTGAACATGCGATATGATGCAATAGTTGAGCACGCGGGTGCAATAGTTCGCAATAGTTGCGCGCAATAGGCGCGCGCAATAGTTCCACTCAGCGAACTATTGAAGCTGCGGTTTGCGGCCCCATTTCCACATACCCCATTTCGCCGGAACCAATTTAGGGCCCTGAGGCGGTCCTTTAGGTCCCAACAGGGGGCCTGCAGGGCGCGTAAATTGCACCTTTCCCCCCACCCCATTCATAGCCCCCTCCTGAAAGCTACGCGCAAGTTACCCGCAGGGAAGGGTCGGGAATTCTGGGGCCGCGGATTGAAAAAAAGAGCATGCGCTCAGGGTCGCGCTGCTCGACGAGTGCGGCGGCGGCGGACTGGCGGGCGGGCTGGCGCTGCTGGTCGCCACGGTGCCCTGCCTGGCGGCTGCGCTGCGCTCGGGGTCGCGGCCACGCGCAGAAAGGGGGTGGGGCAAGCCAGGTGCGCTCGCGTCATATCTGACGTCATACCCCTCCCTGCCATCCCTTACCATGGCGTGCATATCCTGTCTATTCGCGCAGTCGGATGTCGAGCAGAGCAATGATCGCGAGAGGGTACGCGATGCACGGCAGAGCACGGCATGGCATGGCGTAGAAGAGCACGGCAGAGCGTAGCGTGCCGTAGCATGGCGTGGCATTGCGCAGTGAAGTATTGCAGTGGGGGGAGGGGGGGAGGCTTCTTACCCAGACGCCCTCGCGCTCTGACAAAACTCACGCCGGGAGGTTCTCAGCTGCTATTGTCGGCCCTCGGAGCCCTCGCCTGGCTTCGGGAGCGTCAAAAACGACTCAGGATGAAAAGCTGGTCCTGGGGAAAGTGTCCAGACCTTTGGGGGTCGACGTGGTGGAAACAAGCAAAACACGACGTCGGGGGACTGGGTAGGGGGGCAGGGGAAAGGGGGAAGGCTTCTTAGAGGCACCCTTGCTTCTCAGATGGCGCGGGCCTCGTCTGCAGATGTAGGGCCCGCGCCCTCTCAGAAGCAGCCTCCTTCTAAGAGGCCTCTCCCCCCTACCCCACTTCCCCTCTGACGCGCAGAAGGGGGGGGGTATGGGGGAGGGGGGAAGGCTTCTCAGGAGGCGCCCCTGCTTCTCAGAGTGCGCGGGCCTCGTCTGCAGACGTAGGGCCCGCGCCCTCCAAGAAGCAGCCTCCTTCTTAGAGGCCTTTTCCCCCCCCCCCCCCCCCCCTACCCCCCCCGGTGCGCGCCGCCAGAGGTCGCTGGCGGGCAGGCTGGGATGCCTCTCGGCCCTCGCGCTCGACGACGCCGACGCGCTGCTGGCCGAGGGCGGCTGCCCCGCCGGCGACCTGGACCGCGCCCTGCGGCTGCACGAGGGGGACGTGCAGCTGCTCTTCTTCGCCGCCTCGCCAACGAAGGACCGTCGATCCCCAGTACGGGGAGGGAGGGGAGGGCGAGGGGAAGGAGGAGGAGGAGGAGGAGGAGGAGGAGGAGGAAGAGGAGGAGGAGGAGGAGGAGGAGGAGGAGAAGGAGAAGGAGAAGGAGGAGGAGGAGGAGGAGGAGGAGGAGGAGGAGAAGGAGGAGGAGGAGGAGGAGGAGGAGGAGGAGGAGGAGGAGGAAGAGGAGGAGGAGGAGGAGGAGGAGAAGGAGGAGGAGGAGGCTCGAGGAGGAGGACGAGGAGGAGGTTTCATGAACCCAAGAGTTTCACGCGAACTAACCACTGCATTGCATGCGTCGCAGGGCGCAGCGCGCTCTCTCCTCCCTGGCGCGCGGGAAAGCACGCCGGGGAGCGGCGCCGGAGGCGCCGCCAGTCGACTAGGCGTAAGAGTGACCTTTCGCCGGAGCGACCTTTGGTGCGGGCCCATTGGGGTCCCCCAGAAATCCGCGCACCAAAACCAGAAATGCGGAAGTCACGACCTTTTCCCAAGTCGTTTTTTGTTGACGCCCTCGTCTTTTTCGTCGACGCCGAGTCGTTTTCGTCGACGCCGAGTTGTTTTTCAGGGGTACCTTCGCCGATGCATTCGGATGCAACTCCTGGGAGGTCAAATTCCGACTTTGCCCTGGGCCGAAGTCCAGCCTAAATCCAGCGCGATCCCGTTTAATCCGGCTTCATCCCGTGCAGTCTGGCCTGATCCCGCTGAATCCGCGGCCTCATCCGGCGTAATTAGCAGCTCCCCGATGGGGCTTAATCCTCCCTGGTTCTTTCGACGAATACCTAGTGACTTCCTAAGATGTACGAGCGTAGCGAAAACACGAGGTCGTCTTCGCCGACAATGGCGCGCAAGCTGCCGCGCGTGAGTGCCCTCGTCTCCGATGCAGCGTGCCGCGTGGGCGACCCGCGGCGTGCGGTTGCTGTGCCATCTCGCACAAGACTGTCTCCAGACATGCGACGTCATGCTTGTTTTCAATATACAGGGCCCCTGGAAGTCCCGACCCTTTCCCTGGGGCCAGTTTTACATCCTGACTCGTTTTTTGACGGCCCCGAGGCCCGGCAAGGGCCCTCGAGGCCGAAAACGGCTGGAAGCCTCTCGTTCTGATTTTTGCACGGCGCGATCATGTTCGGGTCTTTGATCGTCGCTCACATGGATCCCCTGAGATCCGACGTTGCCGAACAAATGCAACATCGCAAAAGTCACGCCCCCAGCCCTAGACCCGATCTTTCTGCCTCTTTTTCCGAGCCGAGTCGATCTGTGAGGGTACCAGGGCCCGAAGTGGAGCGAAAACGCCCTATAGCAAAAGTTGCAATGCCAGGAGCTCCGGGCCCCCAGACCCCCGACGTAATGATTCCCAACCATCTTGTGGTGTTGGGTCCTCGTTTTGAAAAGACAGCGCCCCGCGTTCACTCCTCCCGCTGAACCCTCCCTCCTCCTCCTCCTCCTCCTCCTCCTCTCCTCCTCCTCCTCCTCCTCCTCCTCGTCATCATCATCATCATCATCATCATCATCATCATCATCATCATCAAATGCCGCGGACGGCTCAGGCCGACGCATTCATGCGGCCTCTGCCCACCTCCCCTCTCACCGCCGCGATCCGCCCAGGATCGCGCGCCTCTCCCCCCTGGCCAGCGGTTCGGCTCTCGCCGCGCCGCCGCGGTGCTCCCGCGCGGCCGAGGGCAGGATGGGAGGTCAGGGAGAAGGAAAACGGGTGGAGGAGACGGACAACAGCGACATAGGTGACCAGAAGGGGGCGCTGAATCGGGACGAGTGGGACACAGAGTACCAGGGCAAGATGATGGGTCGGGGCCTGCAGAGAATTAGGGAGGAGGCCGGTTTCACGGATCGGGCCGAGGGGATCACGCAGGACCAGCCATCACCGTCAAGCCAGGATTTGCCCCGACAGTTTTTGCCATATCGCGCGTGCGTGAGGGCCACATTTATTGGATATAACCCATTCACGCTTATGCGTGCAGGCAGAGCGGAAACTATTTCAACAGAGTTTGCCAGGACCAAAGCATTCTTCCTGCCAGGCACCAAGATGCGCACCCGCCTTGGACACTCCCACTTCTACGAGAGCACCCCGTACCATCATTGGGTCCATTGGGGCTGGGGGAGAGGTGTACGAACTCGTCTGCTGGGGTGACCATTGCTATTTCCAGCCGGCAGTTCAAGAAGAACCACATCGTCCGCATCAACCACCCACCCCAGCATCTACTGGGTAGAGCAGGCAGTCTGGATGTCCAGCGTGGCCCGTTCCGACTTCGGCTTATAGTTGGCTACTACCCTCCGCGATCTAGTTCAGCACGTCACATCCGAGTATGGCGCACCACTTGTAGACAACTTACAGCCTGGATCAAGGAGGAGATTGACACGGCCCCAGGGCGCATCACTCCCATTGTCTTCGCTGATATGAATATGCGTATGGGACGGGGATAGCACCCTTGGCCCTTTCCAGGCCGAACATGAGGATGCAGTAGCCACTGTTGTTCGAAAAGCCGACGCGGATAGCCGCATGAGTTTCCTCAACTCTTTCTTCGATCTGGGACATACGTATTATGGCCTCAAGAGGGCACGAAGTCGGATCGATTACTTCCTAGGACCTCGAGCTTTACTGGACACGGGAATCCACATGCATATGTCCTGGAGGTCTCAGAGACGTCTTCAGGCCCTCCCTCACATGATCGACCACGTCCCCTCGTGCCTGTGCATGTTTCTACCCGCCCCAACCCCCCAACAGCAGCAGCAGAACATCCAGTGGGGCTGGGGGGCTTTGGCGGCGGCGCTACAGATGGGACATCGGAGAGAGGAGTTCTTGAAGCGATTGGGGCAGGTCTGGGAGGTGAGGAGGGTTTTGTGCCGTGTTCTTTCGACGGACGGCGAGCCGACCCGACATGCTGGCGTGGTATCCCACGCGATCAGAGACGTCGCTCGCGAGTCCTTTTCGGCCGGGCAGTCGACCCCAGACTGGCTCCATGAGGCTAAAGCTGAACGACGTAGGCTGTTAGCTGAACGAGCTACCCTCAGGGGCCTTGGGTTCATGATCACGAGCGAGCCCCTTCGACGACTCGACAGAGCGATTAAGTCGCACGCTCGGTGGCAGGAATGGTGGAGGAGGGAGTCTTCGGAGCAGGAGATCAGGGAGGCGTGGGAGGTGCGGGGCCAAGCTAGAGTAGGTAAACTTGTGCGTCTTCGAGCTGGTTCCAGGATGGGGCCCCGTAAAAGGTGCTACCTCGCCCTCCCGATGAGCCGCCCCAGCTCCGCCGATATTCGAGAAGCCCTGCAGAAACCAGGGGTGGAAGGAGGTTTGACGTCCGTCGACGCGGTCCTAGGCATGCACATGAATCCAGACAAGATACAGACTCTGGTTGACACTCCCTGGGGCGAGTTATCACCCAACGGACCCCGAAGCCACCCCCCCACCCACGAGTGAGGATTTTGAGCAGGCGGCTGAGGACCTTGAATGCTTGAACAAACGAGTGCGGCATTGTCATCACCGCCGCGATGCCCCGCCGTGGTCGTGGCCCGTGCAGGTCACGAAGCTGCTCCTCTTCCCCGCCCACCTCTTCCGCCCAGACCTCTCTCGCGAGGGCTTAGGCTCCACGTGGCGAGCACGCGATCCCGACCTCCTGGATTTCGAGGCCCAGGCAGCCCGACCCCGACACCGCCGGTTGTTGGTCGATGATGTCGAGGCGCGTGCAGGATATGATATGCTACTACAACTCCTTGCACATATTCGAGCTAGGCAGCTACTCCCACAACAGGCACGCACGAGCTACGCCATAGCTATAAGCAAGCCAGGCAAGACACCCACGGGCAACGCGGTCACAGATATCACACGGCGTCTGAGGCTACTGCACTGTTCCTGTCACTGGCGGAGGCTCTTTCTACGCGTCGGCCTAGTGGATTATGGTAGCCCTTATGAGCCCCCCCCCCCTCGGGCGCACGGCGGGATCATCCATCGGAGGCGAGAGGGGCTCATGATCATCATTAAACTTGTCATGTGGAAATTGCCCCGTTGCAGACACTACTATCTGGTCAAATCATATGACATGAGAAACGCGTTCGGCGCAGGACATCACGCACGCCTACATAACGCCCATAGGTCTCGAGGAGTGGATGAGCACTATGACGAGCTACTGACGCACCATAGGAGCACGGGCATTCTCTACTACGAGGCTAGCGACGGCGACGCGGCGACGACACCGACGACAGGAGGGGGGATGGGTGATTCGAACGAACCCGGGCTCTTCATGGAATCCTTCTTCCCAATCGTCAGTGCTTGGCAGCGTGAACTCGGACAGGTCGCGGGAGACAATTTGGCAGGCAAGGGCTCTCTGTTCGACCGCTGGGATGACCTGGCGTTCGGAGGCTTCACAGATGACCTGATCCGAATCGCGATTGTACCGGGTGGAATTGCACGCGAGGCCCTGAGCCTCGACCATCTGTACAATAAGATGTTAGACAAGTGCTTTGCCGAGGGCGGGTGCGCACAGCACGTGGACAAGCAAGATACAGTAGTGCACCTAGCTACTGAAAGGGGCGCCAAGGAGGCGGAGGAGAGAGAATCGGGGAGGACGAGGATGAGAATGATACACTTGGGTGGGTACATTAACATCAACGGTAGCAACGGGCTTGAGGTCAAGGCACGGATAAGAGCTGGCTCCATCAGGTGGGGTAACCTTCGGAACTACTGGGCAGCGCCAGGCCCCCGGAGGAGCAAGCGCAGCATGTTCCTGGCTAGCGTTGCAGGCCGTGCCTGGTCAGGTATTGAGGCACATTTGCCCACCCCCCTTTCAAGCGCGGGCCCTCGACACCTCTCTCGCTAAGAAGCTCAGAGCGATAATGGCTGGCGCGGCGCACACGGAGCACGAGGATGGCAGGCGCACGTCGTTGACCACCAGGGCCGCGTTCGAGGAGCGGGGGGCCCCACCCACAGGGGTTGAATTTATGATAAGAAGGTTGGGGTGGTGGCAGTCGACCATGACGAACCCCGAACATCATCGCCACTTTCTCAGCGCCTTCTTCGGGGACTGCAAGTTCGAGTCAAGAGCTCGCTTGGCGGGCGCAGCAGTAGCGGACATAACAATAGTCGGAAACGGCGAGCTGAACCCCTCCCAGCACGTTCGCCCCTGGGCCCGCCAGCTTCATGAAGACCTCCAAGCGGTTCTTGGGCATCCGCATTTCAGGGAACTAAAGGGCGTCTGGGAGCCCCGCACGTTAGGCACCCTGTTCAGCATCAACTCCGAGGCCTCCGAGGTTTTCCGCAAATGCGATTTCCGAGCAATGCGCGCGACGCTCAAGGGATGCGAGTGGGCCCCTCCTGAGCTCTTCGGGAACCAGCGCCCCGCAGACGAGGTGCTGGGGGAGACCGATAGTGAAGATGAAGAGCTCGCCCCCCTACTGCGCGGGATCAAAGGATGCCGCGCCAGATTCTCAACGAACCGCGAGCTTGCCAAGCGCCAGATCAACGCGACAACGCTCGAGGGCCACGGCACTCCTCCTGTCCTCTCGCAGGTGTGCATGGACAATCGGTGCATCAACTGCGACACAGTCTTTGCAAGTGCTGATCATACTCTGCGGCGCATGCTTCGAGCTTGGATGTCAGGCAGATGCATTTCGGAGATGGCGAGACACACGCGTAGCTGGGCCCCCATCCGAGATAACCGAGTGCCCATTGGGAGAATACAGCGACCAGCCTGGATGCCACACTCACTACTCAGACGCGCTGGAGCTGCGAAGACACATTCGTACCCATATCCCCCCATGTCCGTCAGGCTCTAGGCTCAAGACATCTCAGCCGCGCCCCGCCCACAGCGCTCGAGGCCCACTCGAGCGCGAGGAGCTGCAACCGCCAGCTTGGCGGCCCGAGGATACCCCCGAAGAGCGAAAGCGGCTCCGAGCGGGCTACCAGCGACTGGCAGAGCTTCGAGAACAACGAGCTGGGCGACTACGACGGCAGCCACAGGGACATCGGCTACCACGTGCAGGCCCAGTTCCAGTTGACCGCCCCTCGAGGGTAGAACTCGCGAGTACTACATCGCGGGTAACAGCCGCGAGCACCCCCCTACTCCTTCGACGGGTCCCAGCGGTAGCAGCAGCAGCTGAAGATGGCGGGCACGGCAGCAACAGCGTCGGCGGCGGCACGTCCCGCGTGGCTCCTGAAGGGCTCCTGCCCTGCCTCCGGCGCTTCTGGGAACGACGGTTCGGCTCCTCCTCCTGCCAAGAACCCGCGCCAGGGCGACAGGGGCGGCGACCAGGTCATGGAGGGGAACACGCAGAAGGGGAAGGGCAAGAGCGGCAAGGGGGGCAAGGGCGGCCAAGGTCACCGAGGCGGCAGGCGACGCAGGCGCGGCAACCACAGCGAGAAGAAATGGACATCGAATGACCAGAATCTGATGCAGTGCCTGGCGACGCTGACGAAGCTCACGCTTCAAACGGCCTCCAGGCAGCGTCTATCATCAGCGACGACGATCGACGCGTTCACGCCCCCCAAGATGCACCGCGTGGTCCAGAGGCTCGAGGCGGCGATGGTCGAGCACCGCAAGAAGGTGGAGGCGGCCCGCCCGAACGGCGCCGAGGCGCTGCGCGAGGCGGGCTCGCCCGTGGCGAGCCTCGTGGTCGGCCTTCTCGAGAGTCTGATGGAGTGCGACATAGGTGGAGAAGGCGAAGGCCGGCCTGGGCAAGTACGCGGAGCAGATCATCCCAGCCGACGGAGAGGAGCCGCTCATCACGAGGCCGCACGTGGAGCTGGACGCGGCCGCGATCCGCATCGAGAAGTGCTTCGACGAAGAGAAGGTGAAGCTGCAGGTGGCGGCACCAGCGTGGCCGATGCGGGGCACGGTCACGAACGCCTTCATCTCAGAGGGAGTGGCCCTGCGCCACACTGGTGTAGCCCCGCCTGGATGGCTGGAAGACGAGATGGCTTCGTGGCTAGAGGTTCTCACTCAGTAGTGTTTGTACAGGGAGAGACTATCGGGGGCGCGGCACCGACCCCGCCCTCCTCCTTGCCTCCCCCTGCCACGGGCCCGATCGACTCCGAGGACGATTACTGCCCGTTCGAGTTCGATTGAACCATGGCTGCTAGCATTGGCTGCCTGGCCAGCTGACTGCCGCTCCTCCTTTTTCCCAGCCTCACATGCCGTGCATATGTGCAGATAGCTCGTTTCCCAGAGGCCCCCCCTCGTGTGCAGCCTGCCCCGCCGCGTTCCGAGTTGTAGCATCGATCGAACGTGCGCACCAGCCTGCATAGCTGACCAGGACAGGATCAGCGAGAGTGCGGTCCAGCGACGGTTTTCACGCCTCAATTTGTACCCCAACCAGTTGGCATGCAGCCCCATTCGTCGAGTAAAGGTAAGGGTAAATCATCATCATCATCATCATCATCATCATCATCATCATCGTCACCGCACGTTTCAGCACACCCCTCACACGGTGCGTGGCTCCACAGGGAGCTCCACCGAAGGTCCCAGTGCTATCGCCCGCATGCGTCCCCCCCACCCAGTATTGCGTTTCGTGGCCCCATAGGGAGCTCCACCGACGGCCCCAGCACTACCGCCCGCATGCGTCTCCCCACCCAATACAGCGCTTCGTGGCCCCATAGGGAGCTCCACCGATGGCCCCAGTGGCGATGTTCGCATGCGTTCCCTTACCCAGTACAGCGCTTCGTGGCCCCCTAGGGAGCTCCACCGACGGTCCCAGGTTTACCCCCCGAGTGCGTCCCCCCCACCCACCCAATACAGCGCTTCGTGGCCCCATAGGGAGCTCCACCGACGGCCCCAGCGCTACCGCCCGCATGCGCCCCCCCCACCCATTACAGCGCTTCGTGGCTCCATAGGGAACTCCACCGACGGCCCCAGTGCTACCGTCCGCATGCGCCCCCCCCACCCAGTACAGCGCTTCGTCCACAATTGCGGTACCCACAACTGCATATGGTTGGGTCCTTCGCCAAGATAACTGTTTTCATAACGTCGACCCTCAGAGGTCTCGACCCATTCCTCGGGACCGGCTGTTCATCCTGCGTTGTTTTGGGACGCTCCCAAGGTCCGGCAAGGGCCCCTGGAGGCCGACCATAGCGAAACACCTCCCGTCGTGATTTTCTCTATTTCCCGAGGGGGCCTGGGGGCCCCCAACCCATGCCCGAAGAGGAGGCGTCGGAGGCCTTCGGGTGCAGGAGCCGCAAGGGCGCCGCGCGGCTGAGCGCCGCTCCCGGGGCCGGCCTGGGCGCGTGCCCGAAGGTGACGCACCACGTGGAGGTGGTCGCACGGGGCCACAGGCCAGGACGAGGATCATGTCGGGCGTGCCCCCCTTACAGGGGGATCTTCGACGAAAAAAGCAAAAATACACCAACAAAAAACACCCCCAAAGGTGAGAATACCCCAAAAATACATCCGCATGAAAAATACACCAATAATTAAAAATACACTAAAATATCAAAAAATAGTCCACAGGCTATTTTTGGATTATTTTTGGATTACTTTTGGGGGACAGGCCCGACTTAAGACGAGGAGCAGCCCGCTCCACGGCGCTCCTCCGGGGCGCCCGCCGGCTCTCCGAGGTTCTCGATCCCTGCGTCCCTGGCGCTGCAATGCCTCCCTCCTCCCTCCTCCCTCCTCCCTCCTCCCTCCTCCCGCCTCTCTCCTTCTCCTCCTCCTCCTCCTCCTCCTCCTCCTCCTCCTCCTCCTCCTCCTCCTCCTCCTCCCTCCTCCTCCTCCTCTCCTCCTCCTCCTCTCCTCCTCTCCTCCTCCTCCTCCTCCCTCCTCCTCCTCTCCTCTCCTCCTCCTCCTCCCCTCCTCCTCCTCTCCTCCTCCTCCCCTCCTCTCCTCACTCCTCCTCTCCTCCTCCTCCTCGTCTCCTCCTCTCCTCCTCCTCCTCCTCCTCCTCCCTCCTTCCTCCTGCGTCTTCGCTCCGTATCGGGCCCCGGGGCCCTCACCGGTCGATGCGGCTCGAACAACGATTCACCGAGAGGATCGGGTACCGCCCCCGGGGCGTTACGCTTCCCTTTCGTAAAGGATCCGGGAATCGTACTAAAGTACCTGCTTACTCCATAAAGTACAGTCTGATACCATAAAGTACCATCTTAGATCATAGAGCACCTTCTTATATCATAGACTACCTTTTTGAATCATAGAGTACCGCCTTATATCATATGGTTTCATCTCTTGCAGCACGGGGTCCAGGGCTCGAGTCGCGATTCGTTGCGATGATTTTGTTGCAACGTCGGTTCTCAGGGAAGGCCTTACGGCCGGTTCCGCCGACCCTGAAGGGGAACGGCGACAACGGCGGCGGCGGCGCCGACGACGACGCCGATGTGCGTCAGAGTCCTCATAGATGCTCCTTGGGGTCTCTTCGAAGCGCGCTGGGGGGCCTCTGGGGGACATTTTAGGGGCCTCTTGTGAGCCTCCTGGCGGCCTCTGTGGACTTCCTGGGGGCCTCTTGGCGCCGGATCTCAGGGACTCCCGATTGTTGTCCCCACCTGAACTTATATCCTCGTCCTGGCTTCGCCTTGAGGTGGTGCACGAAGACGCCAAGCGTCGCTGCGTCGACGAGGCGCTCCAGAAGATCGCCGAGCCCATCGCGCGGGGTGCCCGAGCCGTTGTGTTCGCGCCGGGGCGCGCGGCCGCCCAGGAGGTGTCCGGCGCGGCCTGCTCCACGGGCATGCCGGCGGCCACGCTGCACGACGAGACTGGGCCAGAGGACATCGAAGAATTCTAGGCTTAAGTCGGGCCTGTCCCCCTACAGGGGGATTTTCAACGTACAATGAAAAAACATAATAATCAAAAAATAGTTCCAAAATAGTCTGGGGACATTTTTTACCTAACAGCGAAGACTGATAGGTTTCTAGTGGTGTCAAAAGAGAGAGCGTCTTGACTCCCCAGGGGGGTCTGGGTGGGATCCAGACGGGATCCGGGGGAATCCGGAGATTTTGTTTTAGCTAACAGTAACGCACTTCGTGGTCTTCGAGTTCCCAGAACTCCATTCCTGGGCATGATTTTGAATACCCGGAGCCAACTGTAGGCCACTTCGTGTTCTTCGAGTTCCCAGAACTCCATTCCCGGGCCACATTTTGAATGCCCGGAGCCAATTGTAGGCCATTTCGTGGTCTTCGAGTGCCCAGAATTCCATTCCTGGGCATGATTTTGAATGCCCGGAGCCAACTGTAGGCCACTTCGTGGTCTTCGAGTTCCCAGAACTCCATTCTTGGGCATAATTTTGAATGCCCGGAGCCAACTGTAAGCCACTTCGTGGTCTTCGAGTTCCCAGAACTCCATTCCCGGGCCACATTTTGAATGCTGAGGCAGGCTGATGTTGAGGCTGAGGCAGGCTGAGGCTGAGGCAGGCTGAGGCTGAGGCCGAGGCTGAAGGCAGACTGAGGCTGAGGCTGAAGCAGGCTGAGGCTGAGGCTGAGGCAGGCTGAGGCTGAGGCTGAGGCAGGCTGATGCTGAGGCAGGCTGAGGCTGAGGCTGAGGCTGATGCAGGCTGAGGCTGAGGCAGGCTGAGGCTGAGGCCGAGGCTGAAGGCAGACTGAGGCTGAGGCTGAAGCAGGCTGAGGCTGAGGCTGAGGCTGAGGCAGGCTGAGGCTGAGGCTGAGGCAGGCTGAGCTGAGGCAGGCTGAGGCTGAGGCTGAGGCTGAGCTGGATGAGGCTGAGGCAGGCCTGAGGCTGAGGCCGAGGCTGAAGGCAGACTGAGGCTGAGGCTGAAGCAGGCTGAGGCTGAGGCAGGCTGAGGCTTAGGAGGCTGAGGCAGGCTGAGGCTGAGGCAGGCTGAGGCTGAGGCTGAGGCTGAGGCTGAGGCAGGCTGAGGCTGAGGCTGAGGCTGAGGCTGAGGCCGAGGCTGAGGCTGAGGCTGAAGCTGAGGCTGAGGCTGAGGCCGAGGCTGAAGGCAGACTGAGGCTGAGGCTGAGGCAGGCTGAGGCTGAGGCAGGCTGAGGCTGAGGCTGAGGCTGAGGCAGGCTGAGGCTGAGGCTGAGGCAGGCTGAGGCTGAGGCTGAGGAGGCTGAGGCTGATGCTGAGGCTGAGGCTGAGGCTGAGCAGCTGAGGCAGGCTGAGGCTGAGGCTGAGGCTGAAGGCAGACTGAGGCTGAGGCTGAAGCAGGCTGAGGCTGAGGCTGAGGCAGGCTGAGGCTGAGGCAGGCTGATGCTGAGGCAGGCTGAGGCTGAGGCTGAGGCTGATGCAGGCTGAGGCTGAGGCAGGCTGAGGCTGAGGCCGAGGCTGAAGGCAGACTGAGGCTGAGGCTGAAGCAGGCTGAGGCTGAGGCTGAGGCAGGCTGAGGCTGAGGCTGAGGCAGGCTGATGCTGAGGCAGGCTGAGGCTGAGGCTGAGGCTGATGCAGGCTGAGGTGAGGCTGAGGCCGAGGCTGAAGGCAGACTGAGGCTGAGGCTGAAGGCAGGCTGAGGCTGAGGCAGGCTGAGGCTGAGGCTGCAGGCTGAGGCTGAGGCAGGCTGAGGCTGAGGCAGGCTGATGCAGGCTGAGGCTGAGGCTGAGGCTGAGAGGCCGAGGCTGAAGGCAGACTGAGCTGAGGCTGAAGCAGGCTGAGGCTGAGGCTGAGGCAGGCTGAGGCTGAGGCAGGCTGAGGCTGAGGCTGAGGCAGGCTGAGGCTGAGGCTGTGACTGCGACTGCCGTTGCCACTGCGACTGTCATCGCGAATGCGACTACGCCTGCGAGAACAGCAGAATTCTACAACTGGATTCTCATCTGAATCTTAAGGGGAATGCTTCCAGATATGCTCCTACACATCGCTGTTTGGTTGCTTTGCCGGGATAATTTAACCTTTTCGGAATATTTTGGGGTATTTACCTGACAGCTGTTGCTGATAGGTTTCTAGTGGGCTCAACAGAGAGAACATCTTGACGCCCCAGGGGGGTCCGGGCGGGATCTGGACAAAACCGGACAGATCCGGCAGCCCCAGGAATCCTTAAATCTTTAGGAATTCTTAGGAATCCTCACGAATCCACTCCCAGAACACATTCCCAGGCCACATTTTGAATGCCCGGAACCAACTGTAGGCCACTTCGTGTTCTTCGTGTTCCCAGAACACCATTCCCAGGCCACATTTTGAATGCCCGGAGCCAACTGTAGGCCACTTCGTGTTATTCGTTTTCCCAGAACACCATTCCCAGGCCACATTTTGAATGCCCAGAGCCAACTGTAGGCCACTTCGTGTTATTCGTTTTCCCAGAACACCATTCCCAGACCACATTTTGAATGCCCGGAGGCAACTGTAGGCCACTTCGTGTTCTTCGTGTTCCCAGAACATCAGTCGCAGGCCACATTTTGAATGCCCGGAGCCAACTGTAGGCCACTTCGTGATCTTCGTGCTCCCGGAACACAATTTCTTGTACCATATTTTGATTGCCCGGAGCCAGCTGTGGGCCACTTCGTGGTCTTCGTGTTCCCGGAACACTAGTCCTGTGCCATATTTTGAATGCCCGAGCTGAGGCAGGCTGAGGCCGAGGCAAGCTGAGGCCGAGGCATGCTGAGGCTGAGGCTGAGGCACGCCGAGGCAGGCTGAGGCTGAGGCTGAGGCAGGCTGAGGCTGAGGCAGACTGAGGCTGAGGCTGACGCAGGCTGCGGCCGAGGCAGGCTGAAGTTGAGGCTGAGGCAGGCTGAGGCTGAGGCAGGCTGGGACTGAGGCTGAGGCAGGCTGAGGCTGAGGCTGAGGCTGAGGCTGAGGCTGAGGCTGAGGCCGAGGCAGGCTGAGGCTGAGGCTGAGGCAAGCCGAGGCAGGCTGAGGCTGAGGCTGAAGCTGAAGCAGGCTGAGGCTGAGGCTGAGGCTGAGGCTGAGGCTGAGGCTGAGGCTGAAGCAGGCTGAGGCTGCGGCTGAGGCAGGGTGAGGCTGAGGCTGATGCAGGCTGAGGCAGAGGCAGGCTGAGGATGAGGCCGAGGCAGGCTGAGGCTGAGGCTGAGGCTGAGGCCGAGGCAGGCTGAGGCTGAGGCAGACTGAGGCACTGAGGCAGGCTGAGGCTGAGGCTGAGGCTGAGGCAGGCTGAGGCTGAGGCTGACGCAGGCTGAGGCCAAGGCAGGCTGAGGCTGAGGCTGAGGCAGGCTGAGGCTGAGGCCGAGGCAGGCTGAGGCTGAGGCTGAGGCAAGCCGAGGCAGGCTGAGCTGAAGCTGAAGCTGAGGCAGGCTGAGGCTGAGGTTGAGGCTGAGGCTGAGTCTGAGGCAAGCTGCGGCTGAGGCTGAGGCTGATGCTGAGGCAGGCTGAGGCTGAGACAGGCTGAGGCTGAGGCTGAGGCAGGCTGAGGCTGAGGCCGAGGCAGGCGAATCCTTCGGAATCCTTCGGATTCCCTAGGAATCCTTAGGAATCCATAGGAATCCCTAGGAATCAGGATTCCTAAGGTTTCCTAAGGAGCCCTATGTATTCCTAAGGATGCCTAAGGATGCCTAGGAATCCCTAGGAATCCTTAGGATTCCATTGGATCCTAAGGCCGTTGCCACTGCGACTGTCATTGCGAATGCGACTGCGACTGCGAGAGCATCATAATCTTACAACTGGATTCTCATCTGAATCTTAAGGGGAATGCTTCCAGATATGCTCCTACACATCGCTGTTAGGTTGCTTTGCCGGGATAAGTTTTATTTGTCATCGAACATCCCCCTGTATGGGGGACAGGCCCGACCTAATTCTAGACCTCCTGGATGGGGACGGAGTAGATGGGGTCGGAGGATCGCGCCGCATCGCCGATGCGGCTCGATGTGGAGCCCGTGTTTCTGCACGCCGACGTTGTCGCCGATGCATCGCCGATACATCGGCGATGCATCAACAAGGCGGCGCGATCCTCCGACCCCATCTATTCGGACCCCATCTAGGAGGCCTCTCAGAACAACAGTTGCAGAGTCATAACTCCCTGACGTGATCGTGTCGTAAAAGAATTATCCTGGCGAGGGACCCGACCATGTGCAGTTGTGAGTACCGTCGTTGCGGGTATCGCCTTCGGGGGATCTCCTCATGGGGCCACGAAGCGCTGTACGGGGGGGGGGGGGGGGCGCATGCGAACACCGCCACTGGGGCCTTGGGTGAAGCTCCCTATGGGGCCACGAAACGTCGTGCTGCGTTAGGGGAGACGCATGCAAACAACGCCACTGGGGCCCACGAAACGCTGTGCTGATCGGGGGAGACGCATGCGAACACCGCCATTGGGGCCTTTGGTGGAGCTCCCCATGTGGCCACGAAGCGTTGTACTGGGCGGGGGAGACGCATGCGAACACCGCCACTGAGGCCTGCGGTGGAGCTCCCTATGGGGCCACGAAGCGCTGTACTGGGTGGGGCCACGGAGCTCCCTATGGGGCCACGGGGCTCCCTATGGGGCCACGCAACGTTGTGTTGGGTTGGGGAGACGCATGCGAACAGCGCCACTGGGGCCTATGAAAAGCTGTGGTGATTGGGGGAGACGCATGCGAACACCGCCACTGGGGCCTTCGGTGGAGCTCCCTATGGAGCCACGAAGCGTTGCATTGGGCGGGGGAGACGCATGCGATCACCGCCACAGAGGCCTGCGGCGGAGCTCCCTTTGGGGCCTCGACGCGCTGTGCTCGGTGCGGGGGGCAGAGGCAGGGATGGGAGGACGGGGAGGAGGAAGGAGGAGAGGAGAGGAGAGGAGGATAAGACGCGGGCCGCTGCCTCTTCAAAACGAGGACCCGACACCTCAGGATGGTTGGGAATCAGGACGGGAGGTTTTTGTGCCGTTTTCGGCCTCGGGGGGCCCTCGCCGGGGCCCGGGACCCTCGCAGACCGATCCACGGCTCCAGAATGATAGGGTCCAGGGTTGCGGGCGTGCTTTCTCACGATGTTGTTTTTTTGTTGCTACGTCTGATTTTAGGGTTCGAAGCATACACCTCATGCGATGCTTAAGAAAACCTAAGTTTTCGGCCAGAGTGTCGATTATTCTTACCGTTTCAATGTAAATCCCAAGATTTTGATAGAAGTTCTGGGTTTTATTCAATTTCTGAGACTATGAATTTCTTAACCCATGATTTCTTAAGCATTTCGCAGGGTGTATGTTCTCGGAGGTCCGTGCGGATTTCCTGGATCGGAGCTGGGCCGCCTGGAGGCGCTTCCGGCCCCGCCCGTGGCGCGCTCCGCGCGCTGCAGGGAGGAGGGTCCAGCGCCGATCCAAGAAATCCGTGCGGGCCTTTGAGATTATGATGTTCCAACCTACTGTAGCTTTGATCACCAGCAAGAGTTTCGAGCACCAGGAAAGCACCGAAGCTGGAGAGCTTCCACGTGTCGGGCCCTGGGAGGCGATAGTCGTTCGACACTGCTTCCATACATTCCTGCGCGCTCGAAATGACTTTCAGGACATGGCCCCCGAGTGCGGTGGGAACAGCGCGACCCTGAGAGGCCAGGCCTGTGCCGTTGCCTGCTCCTCCAGGAGAGGCGGGCCGCGCTGCGCGAGTTCCGCGAGGGCGGCGCGCGCGTCCTCGTCGTGGCGCCGGGCGGGGTCCTCGAGGGGCTGCCCCACGTGCAGTTCGTCGTCAACGTCGGCTGCCCCCTCCCCGCGGAGTACACCCAGCGCCTGGGCCGTTGCTGCGCGCCTGGCCAGCAGGCTTAATTACTCAAGAGCAATGCTCTGGGGGCGATTCTCTGTAGCATTTTTGGGGCGATTTTCTCCTCCTCTTCGTCCTCCTCCTCCTCCTCCTCCTCCTCCTCCTCCTCCTCCTCCTCCTCCTCCTCCCCTCCTCCTCCTCCTCCTCTCCTCCTCCTCCTCCTCCTCCTCCTCCTCCTCCTCCTCCTCTCCTCCTCCTCCTCCTCCTCCTCCTCCTCCCTCCTCCTCCTCCTCCTCCTCCTCCTCCTCCTCCTCCCCTCCTCCTCCTCGTCCTCCTCCTCCTCCTCCTCCTCCTCCTCCTCCTCCTCCTCCTCCTCCTCCTCCTCCATGTTGGGAGGAGGACCTATATGGAGGACATGCCCGACCTGACAGCAGGCGTGGGTGATGACGCTGCTGGCGCCGGAGGACTTCTGCCACGCCCGCGGCCTGGCGCTGATGCTGGAGGAGGCGGGCCAGCCAGTGCCCGCGGGGCTCCGGCGCGCCGCAGCAGGCCTCGCGACGACCATTGCGCGGGAGGCCGCCGCCGCCGCCGGAGGCTCGGAGGACCTCAAGCCTGGGGAGTGGCACTGCGTGGACTGCAGGCAGCACCAGTACAGCTGGCGCCGGGCGTGCCGAGACTGCGGCGCGGCCCGCCCGATGCTCCTCGGGGCTCCCACGCCGTGGGCACGCTCGGAGGACCTCAGGCCTGGGGAGTGGCACTGCGTGGACTGCAGGCGGCACCAGTACAGCTGGCGCCGGGCGTGCCGAGACTGCGGCGCGGCCCGCCCGCTGCTCCTCGGGGCTCCCCCGCCGTGGGCACGCGGCGCGCGCCCCGCGGCCCTGCTCAGGCACGCGCCGCGCGCTGCCGCGCCGTGGGCGCTCTACGCGTGGGGGCGGGCCGCGCAGAGAGGCCGCGGCCGCGCGCCCGCGCCCATCGGGGCCCCGCCGCCGGGGCCACGGAAGAGGGCGGCGGCCAAGGCAGAGCCGGCGCCCCCGGGGCCCGCACCCATGGGGCCCGCGCCCTCCGAGGCCTCGAGGGAGCCTGCGCCCGAGCCCGCGCCGCCCGGGCCGGCGCCCCTCGGGCCCGCCCCCGTCGAGGCGAGCGGGGAGCCCGCATCGCCCGGGCCTGCGGAGGGGCTGGGCGCAGGGGGGGTGGAGGAGGAGCCAGCGAGCGAGGGGTCGCCGGCGCCGCCCGGGCCTGCGCCTGAGGCTGGCGCGGGGGGGGCCTGGCTGCACGCAAGAGCGACCCTTTGCCAGGGGTGACCTTTGGTGCGGGCCCACTGGGGATCCCCCGATCGCCGAACGAGATGCGAGAGCAGCGGCTTCTGCGCTTGGGCTTGGACTCCTTCAGGCCAGGCACCAACGGTCACCCCTGCCCAGGGCCTCTTTCCCTTGAGGTCCGACGCTGCAAAACACCTTGCAAAATCGTTGAAATAGCACGCCCAGAGCCTCTGGACCCCATCTCCCTGCGCCACTCCTCGAGCCGCGGATCGCTCTCTTTGAGGCTCCCGGGGCCCCAACACAAAAAGGCGAGGACGCCAGGCTCGAAAACCCACATGGAGACGCCAGAGGCTCTCGGGGCCTCTTGCGTGTATAGCCAGGAGGAGGAGGAGGAGGAGGAGGATTAGGAGGAGGAGGAGGAGGAGGAGGAGGAGGAGGAGGAGGAGGAGGAGGAGGAGGAGCGGAGGAGGAGGAGGAGGAGGAGGAGGAGGAGGAGGAGGAGGAGGAGGAGGAGGAGCGAAGGGAGGAGGAGGAGGAGGAGGAGGGCGGAGGAGGAGGAGGAGGAGGAGGAGGAGGAGGAGGAGGAGCGGAGGAGCAGAGGAGCGCGCGAGCGAGGCTCCGCGCGGCAGGCGCCGGTGCCACGGGGCCGGCGGGGCGCTGGGCGACCTGCGGGCGAGCGAGGCGCCGCGCGGGCGGCCCCCCCCGTGCCGCGTGGCGCCCGAGGGCCCCGCGCCCCGCCGCGCCGCGCCCCTGCCGGGCTGGGTCTGGGCAGGGGCCATCGGGGCCTAAGAGACGGGGGTCAGTGGGGTCAGTGCAAACGGGGGTCAGCCGGGGCACCGGGTCCTGCAGGATCCTGCGAGGACCTCCTCTGGCGGACCCGGGTTCGCGAGCCGCTCGTGGCCGCGAGGCGGCCGCGCCTTGTGGTTGGCCCGGGTTTGCGAAGACCTGCGTTGCTCTGCACGCACGAAATGGGTACTGAAAGAATGGGTACAATGCCCAACAGCGGATCTGGTTCATTTTGAACAGGGCTTGCTGTCCACGCCGCGGTGGCTTGTGTCCATTCGAGACAGGAGGCCGCCTGCCCAACAGCGGCCGCTGTTGGTTTGGGACAACATTTGCTGTTGGGCATGGTACCCATTCTTTCGGTACCCATTTCGGGCGTCCAAAGTTGCAGTTGTTTTTTTCCTGCATCGCAGTTTTTGTTGGTTTCCTGCTGGCCCGGGTCTGGACTGACCCGGGTCAGGAGAGCCCCGAGGCCGGGGCCGAGGCCGCGCCGGAGCCGTGCACCCCCAGGCTCGCGCCCGGCGTGCCCCGCGCGCCCGCGCAGGCGCGGGGGCGGCAACGAGGGGGGTGATGACTACCCTGACCTTCCAGAGAGCTATTTTTTAGCACTGGAGGCCTAAACACCTAAAAAACTCAGCGAAACAGCCTAAAACCAAGACGTAGAATAGCTTTGGGGTAGGTTTTTCAGTCGGGTGCTATTTTTTAGCCCTCCTGGAAGGTCAGGGTAGAGGGGGTGGGCATCATGGCGGGGGCCATGATGTTTCCCCAGATTTTATGGCGCCTCTTCTTATTTCGTTACGTCCCTGGCCCCCCCGCTGGGCCGCGCACATGCCGCCGGTCATGATTTGCCCCCCCCCCCCCCCCCCCCCCCCCTCCCCCTCTTGGACACCCCCTTCTTGGCCGCTCCCGAGAAGAGGGGCTCTACTGGAACCACGAGGGGGCTTGCTAAGTGTAAGTCGGGCCTGTCCCTCTACAGGGGGAATGTTCAAAAATAGTCCAGAAATAGTCGGGGGACTATTTTTATTATCTTTGAACATTATGGGGGTATCTTCGGTATTCGCTATTCTTCGCCCAAAATCCCCCTGTAGGGGGACGTGCCCGACTTAATGCTAAGTGGCGAGCGCGGCTGTTGTCGGCTTAGTGGGCTTGGACAGGGTTTGTGAAAGGTGATGTAAGCAGCTTGCAAACAAGTTGCTAACGTACTCCAGATTTCGTAACAAAAGGGAGGGGGTCTGGACCCTCCAAGACAAGCCATTTCAGACCTCCCCCGTGGGCGAACCCTCCAAAACATCGTCCCCAGACCCCCCAGGCCCTCCAAGATAGCCTGGAAGAGACCCCCCCCGAAATGAGACCCCCCTCCCTTTATTACGAAATCTGGAGTAGTTACAACTTGGTTGCTAAACGGGCTTAGCTCCTAGATCGCGCCGCATCGCCGATGCGTCGGCGATGCGGCTCGATGCGGAGCCTGTTTTTCTCCACCCTCCCATCGCAGATGCATCGCCGGCTTCGCCAGTGCATCGGCGATGCGTTGGCGATGCGGCGCGATCCTTAGACCGCATCTCCTCCGACCCCATTCAGGAGGCCTCTAAGGACGTACACGTACACGAATCCGAGTTCCCAGACAGGATCGCGTCGTTGAACCAAAATCAGGACGAGAGGCTCCTGGCCGTCTTCGGCCTCGGGGGGCCCTCGCCAGGCCTCGGGACCGTCAAGAAGCAACTCAGGATGAAAGACCAGTCCTGGGGAGAGGTTCGGGACTTCCAGGGGCCCCGTATTGAAATAAGCATGACGTCGCATATCTGGGTTGGTTTCGAGAGTACGCGCTGCGCGAACGCTCCTATCACGATGCTGGCTCGCGGACGGGGGGGGTCGTGTTCCTCTGCGTGATTGGGCGCGTACGTCCTTTCCCAGACATGCGACGTCCTGATTTTGGAGGCACCGACCTTTCCCCCAGAACAGGTTTTTCATCATGCGTCGTTGTTTGACGGCCCCGAGGCCCGGCAAGGGCTCCCTGAGGCCGAACACACTTGCGAGAACCTTCCGCCCTGATTGCGAAGGCCTGACGGCCGTTGCCGCCGACCCTGAAGAGGACCACGACGTCGGCGACGAAGTGGGCGGAGATGGAGGCCGTGGAAGATGAGGGGGAGGAGGAGGAGGAGGAGGAGGAGGAGGAGGAGGAGGAGGAGGAGGAGGAGGGAGGAGGAGGAGGAGGAGGAGGAGGCGGAGGGGAGGAGGAGGAGGGAGGAGGTGGAGGGGAGGAGGAGGAGAGCAGGAGGAGGAGGGAGAGGAGGAGGAGGAGGAGGAGGAGAGGAGGAGGAGGGGAGGAGGAGGAGGGAGGAGGAGGCGGCGGATTCAACGACCTCCCTGCAGCCGCCGCCGAGCCGGCGCCCGAGCCCTCGCCCCTCAAGGGCGGGCCTGCGCCCTCCGTGCCCGCGGCCGCGGAGCCCTCTTCCTCCTCCTCCCCCCCCTCTCCCCCTCCTCCTCCCCCTCCTCCTCCTCCTCTCCTCCTCCTCCCCGCCCTCCTCCTCCTCCTCCTCCTCCTCCTCTCCTCCTCCTCCTCCTCCTCCTCCTCGCCCGCCGCCCCCGCCGCGGGGCCGCCCACGTGGGCCCCCCGTGGGCTGCGTGTGCAGATCTCGCTGACGCAGCTGGCCAGCGACGCCGCCGACCCGTAGCTGGGCGGGCAGGCGCCGCGCGGTGCGCGCATGGCCCAGACCTCCTCGCGTTGTGGAGAAGATCACGGGGCAAAGTCTTTCTCGCTAGTCTCAGCCTCGGGGGGCCCTTAGTCTCCGGCCTCGGGACCGTCTAAGAACGACCCAGGATGAGAAACCGGTCACCGGGAAGGGGTCCAGACCTCTGGGGGTCGACGTTGTGGAACAAATCACGACGTCGGGGGTCTGGGTATGGTGGGCCGCCGCGCCGAGCGGCCCGGGGCGCCCAGGGTTTCAATAGGTTGCGGCTCGCTTTTGCCGGGCTTCCCGACCGGGGCCTGTGCGGGCAACATGCGTATCCATATCCGCTGAGTTTTTCCCCGACATTCCGTGAGATCTTGGCGTCTCAATCTTGTTCGAGCCGGGCGTTTTCGTTTTCTCTCGGGCCCTGGGACTCTCACAGATCGATGTTGCTCGAAAAGTGACGCAGAAAGATGGGGTCCAGGGCTCCTGGTGTGATTCGTGTTCGCGATGTTGCAAGTTTTTCGCCATGTCGGATCTCAGGGTTGAGGAGGGGGTCCGGTTTGGTGTTCCCCTGGGGGGGTCTGGGAGAGGCGACCCTTCCAGGACATGGTCCGGGCCACGGGCCGAACGCTCACAGAAGCCTGCAAAAGACGGCTAGAGTCGGCCCCAACGATTGTCCGAGAGGGCCACGAGTTGCCGAAAGATCGGTCCAAGACGCCCAAGATGGCCGCAAGATGGCCCAAGGAGCCCCCAGGACGCTCCAAGAGGCTGCCTGGAGAGCTGCCAAGAGGGCCCAGAGAGGCAGAATTCATGAATTTCCTGCGGGCTTTTCGATCTTCTTCGCGTTTCCGTTTTCTCGGCTTCCCGAATTTCCCAGACAGTTCTCGCCCAAAGTGTCCCCCAGGAGGCCCCACAAGACTCCCAAAAGGCCCCAAGCAGCGTCGAAGATGCCACCACCAGGAAGGCCCCCCGAGGCCCTCAGGATGGGCCCAACACTGCCCAGGAGAACCCCAGGAGGCCCCTAGGAGGCCCCAACACGGCTGGACACGTTCTCAGCACAACTCTCGCACGGTCCGCCCCCAGAGGTCGCAAGTTGTGCTACCTTGTCCCAATACGGCCCGAGACGTCCCTGACACGACCCACGACGATATCTGAGGGCCCCCACGAGCCTCAAGA